CACGGGATCATGGCTAACGGCATATCTGACAGACACCGCCCTTGTCGCATTCACATTCATTCGAGTATTCGAGGGACGGATCGCCATCGATGATCTTTCCAGGGACACCGGTCTCGATACCGGATTCACCTCGACTTGTCATTCGGTAAGAGTGGGCAGGATTTCTTTATGGCGGCGGAGTTGGGCGTCTAGGGACTATATAAGGAGAAAATCTATGATATCGGCGGCGCTTGTCAGGCAAAGATCGGTTTCTGGAGCGTGACCAACTGCGACGAGACCGGTGGCCTTTCTCAACTTCCATGTAAAATTTAACCCTTTGTCGTACGACATAGACCATATCATGCGAGCATCAGCTGCGGTTCTTGCCACGGCCAATCACGCTCCCTTGTGAATTGTCCAGAGCGATGTACTCATCGAGCCCCTGGTGCTTCCTATACCGCGCTTGTGTTGTAACGGCCCTTTGCTTCATTGATCGTATAGTGGTGACTAGGGTCCAGCTGGAATACATGTTCGGCTCTAAAAGTACTGACGAGGGTATTCAACGTGAATCACCGCTGTGTTGCCAATTGCAGCGAGAATTGTGCTCTGGAATGGGGGTACGTTTGTGTGGATGAAACAGCCGAAGAACGGGAAATGAACTTTCGCACTAGCGCTTACACTAGTCACAGAGCTTTTGACTCGTTAAAATTTGAACGATATCTAGTCTACTCGATCATCCTCAAAAATGTTTCGACTGAAGAGGCAGCGGCTCACAACTGATGGCCTTGATCGAGTCACCACGGCTAGCGATGATGCTATCGGTCTCGACGGAGAAGAATCGCAAGATACCGCCAAGGAACAACGGACAAAACAGCAGAAAGGGCGTTCGTTATTTGTTCGCTCACTACCCGAGGATGCTACATCAGAGAGCTTGACCAACTTTTTCTCCCAATCTTTTCCTCTTAAACACGCAACCGTTGTTATCGACTCAGAGTCCAAGCAGTCCAAGGGGTATGGTTTCGTCACTTTTGCCGACGTCGAGGACGCTCAAATTGCCAAAGACACCTTCAATGGATCTTTGTTCGAAGGCCGAAAAATCAAGGTCGAGCTTGCAGAGCCTCGACATCGTCGAGCAAACCAAGATGGGCTCACTGGTGCTACGAAAGCGAAGGCTCGGCCAGGTCCGCACAAACGTGAAGTGCAGCAGCCACCAAAACTCATTGTGAGGAATCTGCCTTGGACAATCAAGGAGCCAGAGCATCTGGCAATCTTATTCAGAAGCTACGGCAAGATCAAACACGTCACTCTGCCCAAAAAAGAATTGGGTCTATCAGCTGGGTTTGGCTTTGTTATACTACGGGGAAGGAAGAACGCAGAGAGGGCTTTGGAAGGTGTTAACGGGAAAGAGGTTGACGGAAGGACACTGGCTGTGGATTGGGCCGTGGAGAAGGAGATTTGGGAGACAATGCAAACTGGAAGTACGGGACCAGAGACTCCGGACCGAGATGTAAATGCCCCCCCAGTGGAGGAGCATGGCGAAAGCGTCAACCCGGAAGATAGCCACCACATCGATGTCGAAGACATTCCACAGAGTGATATCGAGCGGTCTGCTTCCTCGGTTCGCGAAGATAGTCAACCCACGTCGATGGAAGACAAGGACGTCGACGAGGGTTCGGTAGCGCGGACGAAGGACAGCAGCACTTCGACTCTGTTCGTACGGAACCTCCCATTCACCAGCACAGACGAAGTATTGACAGTTCATTTTGAGCTTTTTGGCCCTGTGCGGTATGCAAGAGTAGTCCTCGACCATGCGACTGAACGACCGAAGGGTACAGGGTTCATCTGTTTCTACAACAAAGAAGACGCGGATTCTTGTCTTCGAGAGGCTCCTAGGATGCAGCTCACACTAATTCCAGGGAGCACAACGACCAAAGGCACAGGTAGTTCCTCGACAAAGCAATCCTTACTCGAGGATACGAGCCTGGACCGTTCCGGACGGTATACAATGGAGGGTCGGGTGCTCCAACTGTCTCGAGCAGTAGATCGCAACGAAGCTACGCGACTTACATCTGCCAGCAGCAATGTAAGAGATGCCCAAGATAAAGATCGAAGGCGATTGTATTTGCTCTCAGAGGGCACTGTACCCTCTAATACCCCTCTTTATGGTCAGCTGTCGCCGTCCGAGATTAAAATGCGAGAGGACAGCGCAAAACAGCGCCAATCGCTCATTAGAAGCAACCCTACGCTCCATTTCAGTTTGACACGTCTGTCTATTCGTAATCTGCCACGTAGCATAACTTCTAAGGGTCTCAAGGCCCTTGCGAGAGAAGCTGTTGTCGGCTTCGCAAAAGATGTCAAAAGTGAGCTACGAAAGCAGTTATCGAAAGAGGAGCTCTCACGAGGTGGCGAAGAGATGAAGCAAGCCGAGAAAGCTCGAAAAGCGAAAGGAAAAGGCATTGTCAAGCAGGCCAAGGTTGTTTTCGAGGGCAGGGAAGGGAGCAAGGTAACAGAAGACAGCGGCGCCGGTCGAAGCAGGGGCTATGGCTTCATTGAATATTCCTCACATCGGTGGGCTCTAATGGGGCTTCGGTGGCTGAACGGGCACGCAGTGGGGCCTGCAAAAAACTCCGACGGTACGAATGATAAAGAGAGAAGGAAGCGGCTGATCACAGAGTTTGCGATCGAAAATGCCCAAGTAGTTGGAAGACGGCACGAGAGGGAGACAAAAGCTAGAGAGAGATCAAGACTCGTTTCTGAGAAACGGGAAAATGGGGAAATTCCAAACATTGTGTCAAAGCGTTTGTCCAAAGACCAATTGATGGCTAAGACGCGAAAAGGTATGAAGAGGAAGCGAGTATCCAACCCAAAGTCTCTTGTGCAGGATCCTACACCAGAAGGCCCGAATGCCAACGCAGCAAGCGATGAGTCGGGAAAGTTCGCAAAGCGACAACAGATAATCGGAAGGAAAAGAATGATGCGAAGGTCTAGAAGTCAGGCAGTATCTAAGTGACGAGTAGCGTTCGCATCATCAATTGTTGATTGAAAGATGAAGGTGGACAGACGAAATGAAGCAGTCAATTCTCTCAGCTCGCACATAGCGAAGAATTTGAAGGCCGCAATCTGGTAAAGCAGATACATGTGTTTGTAATCCAAGTTACGAGTAAGGCCGTATTGCTCAGCGTGCGATCTGGATTGAACCGTGCAGTACCAATACCTGAGTCACTTGCTCTTCCCCATGGGATCTCTTCCAAGAGATGTGATCAATCTCCACAACAGTTCCTTCCTTTCCGATCTTCACCGCGTGTGCTTGTCAAAGCTGGCATCTCGATCATGTAAACAGATATATACCAATAATGTGACATGTCTTTGGTGCAGGGGATTTGTCCCATCCGCGTGAGTGTTGCAATGACTGACAACATTATTTCGGGCAATGCAATGGAGCTCCAGCTATGCCCGCACTGCCTTAGTTTACTGCTTGCTCTCGGCGGAGACATATTTGGACGCGTTCTGCAGGAGCTTTACGCGACAGCAGGCCCAAGGCTGGAGATGATACGGACACCTGAGCCGTGACTATCAATAAGGAACAGCGTTCGATGAGCCATCCCTGGTTGCCTGAAGAGCTACCTGCTTCCCAGGAATAACAGATCATGCGTCCTGCTTTCTCGATACTCGATGCCGGCCAACCGCAGGCACGTATGCATCTCGCACTCGCACGAGCGACAGCTAAGCCATGCTGGTTGCTGCAGAATCTCGTCGATCTCAACCACGGATCGTTTAGATGCAAACATCCACTCGCGTTGATGCATGCAGCCTAACAGGGATGTGGGGGCCAGCACGAGGATCTCCGAACTCGGGGCTTCCACGGATGAGGCTCTCGAGTCTCGAGGCTAAAAAAAAATGTCGAACCGCAGATGACCGGAGACTGATACGAGCGGGGCGTTATTTTTGCGGGAAATAATCCGCCAAGCCTTTTTCACTATCACATTGACAGAGTAAACATAATCGTCAAAGCGCAATCGTGCTGCACAACGGGGCGTTGTATTTCGCGCTTCTAGACCATTCAGAGCTGCACCTTGCCCACTATGTTGTATCGCTTGCTGAAAAATGTGTACCAATCCTTAAGGACACCTTTCTCCTTCTCCGGCAAATCCTGCCACTCAGGTCTACAGTCCTCAGGCTTGAGTGAAGATTGAGCGAGGGCTCGTGAGGCATCTCTTCCGGCAAACACTGGGATTTTGGTCAGCTGTTGAATTTGTGTCGGCAGAGGATTTGGAAGCTCAAATCGGAACGGCGTGTCGGTACCATTGTATGGGTTCTTGGGAGAGTAGGCTGTGTTGCTGGAGACATCGAAGACCGTGCCCATGATGGCGACGTACGTAGGATACGAAGAGTCGGTGCCTGTCCCATATTCCGTTCAATTAGCCAAAATTAGGTCCCATTTCCGCAGATGCGGTATATAGCAGTCGTACCGTCACACTTGGCGAGGTCTTCAACCCTGATAGGCTCATCTCTGGGCGGGTTGAGCTTTGGGGGATCTTTAGGAGCGAACCTCTTGGGCTCTTCAATATACCCTGTTTCAGCCATGGCGGATGCTTGCGGCGATGTTGTTGACTGAAATAATTAGAGGGTTGCTTGACTGCGCACTGACTTTCCTGAAGCTGGTGTTCGTAAATGATGAGTCGTCAATAAATATTGGGGGGCTACAAGTTGCGTGGGGTGTGGGGAATGTCATTGTGAGCTAATTTCCTTATCGATAGGTATGCACTTACGCCCCACTTAGCGGGGCTACTGGGGGCCAAAAATAAGGTACCTACTTATGTCATTCTTAGTGGCTACGGACTAAGATACGGAGCTTCTCGTTCTCGCAAGCAGTCCCTGGGGATCGACTGGTTAAGAATGTGCCTCGGCGGTGGACAAGTAAAGTGCTCAACTTCCCCCAAAATACCTAGAATTTTGGCTATGCTTGGCACTAGAGAACTAAGTCCGACTTGCCATCTCGTCTGGATATGCCCACGACGACATCAAGGTGCCTTGACCGGCTTTTGCACCATCAAGGTCAGCAACGAATGGACGATCTCCGCTGCAGCCAATACTGTTGTTTCGCCTGGATTGTCGTAGATCGGAGCAACTTCCACAACGTCTGCACCGACGACGTTGGTGCCTTCGAGACCGTCCAAAATAGAAAGCAGCTCCCTTGTTGTCCATCCTCCAACCTCTGCTGTTCCAGTGGCTGGTGCAAAGGCAGGATCAAGCACATCAATGTCGACGGATATATAGACCTTAGTATTACCGACCCTTTCCCTGAGTCTCTTGATCACGCCGTCCACGCCAATGCGGTCAATATCTCTGGCCTTGATAGTATCAAAGCCGCAGCGCAGGTCGTTGCGTATGTCTCCCTTACGTCTTATCAAAGGTGCTCTGATTCCCGCGTGGATGGACGAGTTTTGTATCAAGCCTTCCTCATACGCAATGTGGAGGAAGGTTCCTACAATTTTGTTTGAGTTGGCATCTTGACGTCCTGGATTCCACAAGGGAGGCTTTACCGTGATTTACGCCACTGGATTGCTACTGATCAGCCGAGCGAGGATCTTTTGGGGCAGCCTTTGGAAAGAGGCTTACGCATATTGTGACAAACCTCCACCCAAAACATTCGGATCCCATGTATCTGCAATACATTATGTTTAGCATCATTGAAGCATTTGGATGAGGCTATCTACCTAAATGGGAGTCAAAATGAATGACTGAAACTGCGCCCCATCGCGACGCCGCAGAGCGAAGCGCTGGAAGTGTGGTACTAAGGGGTCTCGACCTCAGCTTTTCTGTCTTAATGTAGCAATCCTGCTTCGAGACAGTTTCCGGTAGAAAAGAAGCAGCTGATACCATCTTCACATATGGCTTGGGGCTTCAATGGTGGTACTCATTTGGAAGAAATTGATCCGATAATACATACGTATGATCTCCTCCTAGCGTAATGATACGAGGTATCAAGGACTTCTCTATTGCCTTAGCCTCTCGACCGGAGACGACCTTTGGCCATGCATCCACATGTAAGCAATGTGTTGAAACTAGTAGCCGAAATAGCGTTACACCTCAGACTTGTGCTGAATGAGACATTGAGAGTTGAGCTCTTACCTTGTGTGCCTTGTCCAGCTGCTTCAAGGCAATGGTATTGTCAAGAAAGGTTATGGGGGCATCTCCACAGTCTAAGATCTCAGCCCAGCTCTTATAAGAATTCTGCCCTGTCAGGCTGGTCAGTTTTGGCAGGATCGGGTGAGGTGGGAAAGCCTCACCGGTATATATGCTCCAAGCAAAGGATGCAGACATTCGGCGAGAACCCCGTCGAATACCAGTGGGTCCAAACCGAGCTCCTGGTCTTGCAGTCACGGCCTTTTGGATGTTAGCCAATATATCCTACTCTCAACCCACCACCCTGATGTTCTGCTGTTTCACGATTTCGATGCATGTATACACATAGATAATACTCTGGTTACGTTGCTGCCTCCGTATCATGAGTAGAATTAGATAAGGAGTACTGACTGTGTCGAATGGTGCCCCCATAATGGCGATATCGTATGCGTCCACATCCGAGTCTCTGAAACAATTGGCGTATGGCAAATTCGCAAAAGTCATTAGGCCAGAAAAATCGCTACCAGTTGCGATATCGACGTCGTCATCGTTAGTCAGGGGCTGTTGAAGTCTTTTGATGCCGGAGACTGTTGGGAAGTTGATGTCACGAGTATCAACAGAGAATGGCAGCAAGAGAAACGTTGCGTGCAAAAATACAGCTCCAAACATGATTTCAATAGGAGAGAAAAGGGTCTTTTCAGCGAGGCAATGTAAATAGAAATAAAGCAGAACTTCTTTTCTAAAACAATCAAAGTACAAGGGGGAGGCCAAGTATCCAATGGCAGCATCGATACCTCCTGGAAATGATTGTTTTAACACTTTAGTACTTAAGAGACCTGAAAGTATGCGTCAAGTAGCCGCGTTTCTGCTAAGGAAGCGCCAAGTGGGATGACTAGTAGCCATACAACACATACCCTACACAGACACTTGAGTAACGTAGAGTACGCGCACTCCTACAACGGCCGCAAGAGGCTTCACAAAATGAACTTGGAATCACTGTTACTCACAACAAGCATTTACAAAAATGCCCGGTGGGGAGTACGGGGGTCGAAGGCTTGTTCAGAGATCGTTGTTTTCTATCTTACGTTGTAAAGTTGCGTGGTATAGGAACAATTGAAGATCGGGTATACGCAACCAGCTCACATAAATCAGTCCTCAAACAAAATTCCATAGGGAGACAACGATTTGTAAGTCCTTCGGCCAGATGGCCTGCCACCCATGCCTGTCTCTCTCTCAGCACCAGATCGTCCGGGCATGTTGATGGCTGCCTTCTGTGCACCGTCTCCGTCAAAGCTAGGGCGCCCAGCAATCTTCACTTTCGGCTGCATGGTGTTTTGGATTGGCGAAATAGCGCTACCTTGACTTGCGGGCCTACTGTCAGCGCCTCCAATCGAGGTTCTGCTTTCCTGGGCAACAGAAATGCGTCGATCACTGCTTGAGGTGACAGAATATGCTCGTCCAGCAATCTTTGGCTCCGGCCGAACCACGAGAGGCTGTTGAGCTGAAACACCCATTTCTGACGGCTGCCGGAGCATCGGCCGCCTTGGCCTGGGCTTTCCAATCTCGTCGGAAATTATGGACTCAGAGGTGTCGCTCCATATGCTGGTAGAAACGCCACAAAGATTGCCCCTGTGTCGTTTTTCGTCCGACGGTAGGGCATCTGCCGTATGGTTTGACCCTTGCCGGCTGGCACTACTCGTCTCTTGTGGAAACTGTTCGCGCTCTCCCTCCCCGTCATCTTCATCGTCTACAAGGATCACCATCCAGACCCCTATGGTATCGTTGACGCCTAGAAGCGGGGTGCAGTGAATCCATCGAGCTCGAGATTTCGTGGCGGTTTTGGATACCCACTGTACCTTGGCGGTAACTTTCCTGCCAACTTCAAGAGCATGAGCAAGGTCGCCGCGGACCCGACTACTGCCCCCAATCCGACTCAGCAGAGGTGACTGGAGGATTCCAGGTATCCGCAGATCAGGCGAGGCAAACAGGATACGGAGTGATGGATACGGTCGAACCAGAAGATACTGAGATTATCAGCGAAACTGCCTAGACATCGTGTTCCGTACCAGGTACTTACGGTTTTATAGTAGCCCAGAGGTGGAGCACTTCCCTGTCCATTGAGTTGAAAACTATCATCTAGGTCTGTAAGAGGCGTTCTAGACGTTGAATCATCATCTCGCTGCCTTTTCTCCGACTCTGTATAGATGAAACCCTCTTCAGACTGAAGCTGTTGACGCCGTCTTAGCGTAATCAGCTGTTCCAGCTCTTGCGAATTGAACGCTTCGCTCAGTTGCTCGAATTCGTCCCGTTGGAGAGTCTCTTTCGGGATGTCTCGATTCGTCACATGGCTTCGATGCTCGTTGTTGCGTTCGACGATTTTCTTTAAAGTCGCAAGCCCTGTACAGTCGTTGACAAGACCAGTGATATCAACTTGAGCGCCAAGGTAATACCTGACCTTGCCAGATTGATCACGCAAGGGTACACACATGATGAGGTTAATGAAAGGCGATCCATCCTTGCGGCTGCATCACAATGACAATTAGATTGTAGGGGGTTTCTTGTTGAAGAATACTTACTAATTCAGTAGGACTTCGCAGTGTTCCCGCTCAGCATCAAGGGAGGAACGAAAGCGAGAAATCCCAAACAGGCTTGTTCTTGCTCCTCCCAGTGTGCGGCAATTGCGCCCAAGGAATTCAGTCCTCGGATATCCTGTCATTCTGTGGAATTCTACAAACTGTTAGCTAGTTTGACAACAATGGGTAAGTTAGGCGCGGGGATCACCTTCGGAAGTGAAGACAATTGGATTGTCTGGACGAGACGGATCTGAGAGCACGAAGACTTCAGCCAGGCCATCCGCAATGCCGGGCGATCCCGGATCCTCCTTTCCAGTGACCCTGTCTACCAATGCCACGTCAACTGTCCGAACATAAATATATGCGATGAATGCTGGTAGATCGTCTTTTACAAGAACATCCAACGCTCGATCAGCCTTGTCCTCCATGACCCAAGCCATTGTGGCGCTGTTGGCTTCTGAGGTAAAGGCATGACCAGGGATCGGTTCAAGGCCTCTGATGATAGCCTCTGCATATCTGATAGTTTTCAATGCTTTGACGGCATCAAGATAGTAAGCGAGTATAGGAACAGAGTCTGGCCGATATGTGCGCAGGAAGTCAGTGAAGTTCAAAGACAATGTAGAGTCTGCAAGGATCAATTGGAGATGCTCGCGAGAGAAGAGCAGCTCCGAGCGCTTCTCCAGAGGCGCGATTGATTCAATCGCATTTTCGTTATTATCAGGGGGGTCTTCCAGAGAAAAGTCACGAGTTTTGGGTTCTTCGCTCTCAATTGAGGCAGCGAGACCACGATCGGAGCTGCGCCACGGCCTGACAGTATTGAGGTCGTCATCCAATTCCGCTATAGGTGATAATGGGGGTGGGCTGTCCGTCTCGCAGGGTTCTGAAGAGACGTGTGGAGCACCGAAAGGTGTAGCCTCAGATGTCGAATGTTGTCTGCTGTTCATTGAGCATTTGCGATACGGCAAGACAGTTCGGAGAAGAACACGTACTCGTCTAGGCGTACCAAAAACGCCGTGGCAGCGCTGCGATTGGAAGGATTGTAAAAATCATATTTGGAAGGATCGAAGCCATCATCGTTCTTGAGCCCATAGTCCACGCCTGGGGTTGGGACTTGGAGTACATGGCCATTGATTTTGTGTGTCATATAGTTATTGGCCATGAGCGGCAAATAAATCTAGTATGAACGTAAAGCCATGCAGCGTACGCGCAGCCCGCTCAATCTTCTAATATCGCAGCTATACACGAATGGTCAAGTAAACACGGACTTGATTGGGGATTAGGTTTTGTAAGCTTTTTTGTGGAAATGACGCCAGATGGCAATTGAAAATGGAATAGTGATATTTCAAATAACAATCATGATGACAGAAGAATATCTATTAAGTAACGTAGAAAGACTGAAAGGGAAGAAGTGGAAAAGAAAATGAAACATCCAATTATTCTTTTTTCCATCCTCGTATTATCATACGGTATTATTATTATCGCAAGTCGTGACGCAAATCGACCGAGGGGTCCAACAGAATACCAAATGACAATGTACAAGGGAGCATCCCTTAGGCTCTAAGCTAGCAATTTAGGAGCTTGGGCGTTGAGTTATTAAAGTAACAATGCACCAGGCGTCACTGTGCCGTGGGTACGGACCAATGATAAAGAGGAAAGGCATGGATTTGGTCTGAATGACATCGGAGCAGTGCCCTTAAGGTCCCTTGTTTTGAGGCCCTTTTGGGGAATGGTCGTGAGGCTCGCAAGCTTGACTGTCCTGGGTTGACCCATGAGCTTGCGCCATACAGTGTAGCTCATCACACTGCCGTTGCATGTAGGCATGCATGGTAGATCATCGCCGGGCCAGGATCTCGAATCGTTTTTTTGAATCTCGATGCCTCGATGGCCTTTCGATCGTGTCCTTATAATTAATGGCCAAAGGAAACTTTGCCGAAGGTCAATGATCATCGGGAACGCAAGCTGATTGGCTGGGAATGGGGGGAAAATTGGACATTGGACCCTTCATCTGTTCAGTCTGCACCATCTCGCAAACTGTAACCGAACCCGTAGCTTCTGCCACAGTGAGCTATGACCGAATATGGCCTTGGTCTAATTGGATGCCGAGTGCAATATGCATCCCGGTCACATCTTCTGGCAAGTCAAACCGTCAGAGAAGCAGAAAAATTTAGGGAAACAGCCGCGGCTCTTCCATAAACCCTCGCTTTTCAGGCAAATGCCATTCTCTTGGATCAAAGTTTACCGGTGACAATGTCTTTGGTAACGAGAGAAATGGCTGCTCAGAATGGAAAATTGAATGGCGACTTGAAGCAAAGTGACGACCGACTCCCCATCGAGCGTGCAGGCAATACTCAGCTCGCGCAGCGCAAAGGCTCATACAACAACAAGGGAGACGAGTTATCGCGAGACTACAACCCGCCGCCCTCCTCCTACTCCGTTCCCAAACAGCATGGAGGCCTCGACAAGAGCGCAAACGGACTGGCCGACTTCTTCAGTACCGAGGTGTTCCAGATTGTCTTACACAATCCCACCACTGCCCATCGTCTTCTCAAGTTCAGTCAAGCTCGCATGTGTGGGGAGAATATGGAATTCTTGGAGAAGGTTGGTGCCGCCGCTCTTCCACTAATTTGCCTCGCTTATGGTGGTGAATCTGCGTAGGTGGACCGTTACAATGCCCTCTTGGACGAGTTGACGACCATCATGACCGATATACATTACTCCTATACGGCAACCGAGGCGCCCAAACAGCTAGGCATTCATGTGAACTTGATGAGACGGATGAATGCAGACATCAAAGCAAGCACCATGTCAACTCTACCGTCCATGGAATCGATATTCACAGAAGCACAAGACAGCGTAGAAAATATCCTGAGAACTGCCGTCTACCCACGCTTCGTCAAGTATCAGATGACCAACAGCGCTTCCAAAGCCTTGTCTACCGACCGCAGCAGATACCAAGGTCTTGGAGACTGCTTCTGTTTAACAGACCCGAACAAGGCTGACAATCCCATTGTTTATGCATCGGATGGATTCGTTTCTGTGACCGGCTACTCAAGGCCCGAAGTCGTTCCACGCAACTGCCGATTCCTTCAGGGCAACTACACAGACCGAACCGCAACGAAGCGACTGAAGGCCTCTATCGAGGCAAGGGAAGAGACCGTGGAGCTTTTGCTCAACTACAAAAAGACAGGAGAGCCGTTCTGGAACTTGCTTTACGTTGGTATGCGTCCCTGCGTTTGTCCCTTGTCGCGAGCATGATCCATTCGGCTCACATAAAGATCAGCGCCTTTGTTCGATGCGGAAGGCAACTTGAAATTCTTCATTGGTGGTCAAATCAATTGCTCGACGACCATCCGTAGCAACACCGACGTTCTGAAGATACTCTCCATGTCTGACGATCCAGAAGACGACAAGGAAGCTGCTCAGTCGGTAAGAAGCATCAAGCCAAATAAGAGGAGCTTTTTCGGATTCTCAAGGAAAGAGAGGTACGTTATCTCCGTATGACTCCTTCCCATTCATGACTTTGTTTTGAGGCGTACGACATGTTTCGAAAGCAGTGGGCATGTATTCCCATTTCCCTGTGCTCTGTATCATTTTCGTCGTCGTTTTTGACCCACTTGGTCTTGGGTCATAAACAGGTTTCTTCCACCTTCTTCATTCTGCTTTCTAGACTGGTGACATGACTCGAGTTTGTGTCATACTTACGATTCCCTCTTGTCGTTCTGCTCTTTGAGCTCGCCGCGAGATACGACTCTGTTTTGTTCAAAGGACATGCTGACCCCGAAATTCTCATCAGCGTTCCTCAGCTTCCCTCTAGCACCAAACGTGTAGAGGTGCGTGGGGACGGTATGGAGCAGGGACTACTCAAACAAATTGAGAAGATGAACTTCAGGACTCAGATGGAGGTTTTCTATACTACGTATTCGAAGGTACGTCTTTTCAATATCCCCCGACACTTTTATCTTGCCTATGTCTGGTATTGACATCTTGCAGTACCTAGTGGTTAAATATGACAGCTTCGCCATCTCGCACTACTCGCTCGGCATTGTAGATATTCTGGGTATAACCAACAGCAGCAGCCACGGCTTTGTTGGTAGCAACATATTCAAATTCTTGGCACAGCACACGACAGCGTTGCCACGGGAATACAAATCAAAGGTGAAGGATGCCTTGAAACACGGCCAGGCCATCTCCGCAAGCGTAAACCTATTCACGCTCCGATCACTGGAACGTTCCAAAGGGGATGACAAATTCTTCACGCACTGGACACCTTGTAAAGATGAGCGCGGGGTTGTTGCCTATGCTGTGGTGACGCTGAGCTCTACCCTGTACGAGTGAATTTCTGTCATATACCCCTTTCTGAGCATTTGTTATTTTCGGGTCGGGTTTCCAAACCAATCGATGATATAAACACGGGAGGGCTAGGCGTGAAGATTTCAATTATTTAAATTAAAAAATAATGTAAATAAGAGTAAAGAACTTAATTATATAAATATTAATTATTAATTAATAGAAGTATATATCTTAAAGAAAATATACGATAACTCGATACTTAAGATAAGAGTTATATTTACTAATTAAAAAGATATAATATATTCTATAATATATTTTATATTAAGTAATACTATATTATATTCGAATATAATATAATAAATTTAAATATTATATCTTTTTTTTAATATAAATTCGAAATTTTAGCGATATATATTATAGACTAATATATTTATAATATTATATTATAAAATAATATATTTATAGAATAATTTAATTAAGATATATAGAATATAATAAAAAGCTTAAGACGTTATCTATAACTATTATATTTACTTAAGAAGTTATATTTAATAAAATAAGATAGATATATAATATCGTAATAAGATTAATAATAATCTACGCGATAGCGATATAGTATATATCGAAGAAATTAAAAGAAGTTTAAGAAATATATATAGAATATTTAAAACCGATTTAGAATAAGTATTTTAGAAGAGTTATAGAAATATAGAAAGTAATTAATATATATATTCTAAAGATAGAGATAGAGACTTTATCGATATAAATTATTTTAAATAAAATAATTATTAAAAGTTAGATTATAAGAGAGATATATTTAATAATTAAAAAAAGTAATTCTTATATTAAAAAAAAGATAAAAGAAAGAAAAAGGTTTAGCGAAAAAAAAGAAATTTTAAATTTTAAAAATTATAGAGCTCGCTAATTAAAATATAATAATAAATCTAGATTAAATATAATATATATTAGAATCGATATAGATGTAATATTAATATAGATATTTTAAATAAAATAATTAAGATATCGAATTATATAAATAGAAGGGAGATATTAAGTAATAGATGAATATCTCTATTAAGACACGCTAGATCTAAATAGATTAGAGAGCTAAATAATATATTAAGAATATAGAATATACTCGTAATATTACTCCCCCTTCTTTATAAAATTATATTCTATAATTAATAAGTAGAAAGAAAGAAAAATAAGTATATATATACGCTTAATATCTGAAAAATAGTAAAAATAATAAAGAAATAATTATATCTAAGAACTCTAATATTATACTTTTTTTTATAAGAGATATTAAAAATAATAGTAGCTCGTTATATTCGCGCTATAATAATATTACTAATTAAAATATAAACGTATATAGAAAGTCTAGCTAGAAGAAAATTGATATAATATAGCGAAAATAATATCTATTAGTATAGAAGTAATTAGTAATAATTTCTAAATTTATATCTAAGCGAATAGAATATTAATAAAATAATATAATATAATTAGTCGAAGGCTCTTAAATTAAATCGAATTAAATTAAGCTATAGACGCTAAAAACTCTAATCTAATATTAAATAACTTTAATATAAACTTCTCTATAATATATTATTTAATTAATATTAATTATATTTTATAATAGTAATAATATAATTTATATATATATTAATATAGCTTTAAAAGGTCTTTAGAGTTATATTAATAGAGGGACTCTATAAGAGAGACTCTATATAAGATAATTTCTAATCGATATAGATCTAAAAGATCGATTCTCGACTTTAAAAAAATAAGGCTATCGCGAAGATATCGAACAATTTTAATTTGACTAAAAACGATATTTCCGATTTAAGGGCTTTTTTTACTATTAAAGAC